CCCCGGCGGTGATGCTAGTTCTTGGTGCCTCCAATATCCTTATTTGTAATCAAAATGACCATTTCATCCGTCGCACACAAAGTACCGGTACCTGGCAGTCAAGACAGAGGGAGCATTCGTCAGTGTGCCCTCAAAGCAATACTAAGAAAAGCTGAAGGTGACTCCTTTAAAAGTAGCCATTATCGCGACATTTTTGAGAATATTAATTTGACGTCAGACGTTTTACCAAGCATCTATCTGTATGATGCCGGTTGCCAACAAACCGATTACCTTCAGAAAATCAGACAGTTTATCCAGTTTTGATTGATAGACAGATGTGATTCCACGTCCTTAAATGCAATAATAACGCCTAGCAACAATCCGCGGTTTAAAAGTCCTGAGATCGTAACGACATTTGCGAATGTGGCAGAACTTAATGTCAACAGGCCCATCGTCGAGAAGTCCTGTTAAATTGTGAACATAGACATTTTGTGCGGTGTAGTTTCGACTTATAAGGAATTTACAAACGGAACGAACAAAGCATAAACCGTTTGAGCAAAACGTCAGTATTTATTTAGCCACTCTTCCGTGCATTCGTAGTAGTAGAACGGTGTCCAAACGTAGGCAAGGATAATACAAACTGCCAAAATATAAAGGTAGGTTCATGCATTTGAGATAGAAAATTATCGCTATTCTACGGAAAAGTGAAAAAAGGGAAAAAGTGCCAATTTTTCTTGACTTTAGCGTATAAAAAAGGTAAACTACGTAAGCATTCTCCGAAATAATGTCGTCTTACAGCATTGCCTTGAATAGCTAACTTATTATAGGCGGTACTTCAATGTATCGAAATCATATTCCTCGTTGACGGTGGTTGAGGGCAACCAATGAGGTTTCATTTCCGGACAAGTATTCAAATGTGACCTGAACGACCAGTTACAAGCACTCACCACATCGGTAAGCGTTTTCCAAAAGTATCACATTTTTAAGGTTTGGATAAATCTATAGCATAAGACCTAAATTTGTAGACAAGTGATTGAAAGCACTGAAAATCATATTCACTGACATTTCAAATGCACTCTGAAACATAACGGACTCCACCAGCGACAAAAACCGCACAGAAATTTGACGGAAGAAAAGTTCTTTAAATACGTACAAACAGCGTGCCAAGTATGTTTAAATTTAATGGCCACTGGCAGCGGTCTATCAAGAGATGGCCCTATGGAAACGCATAATCGTGACGTGTCTTTCAATGAAGCCAAGCGAAATGTTCTTTTTTTAAATCAACCACATCTAGAATATATAAACGGAAAAATTA